GACTACAGGCACACACCACCACATCCAGCTAATTTTTTTGTATTTTATTATAGACGGGGTTTCACCATGTTGGCCAGGTTGGTCTCGAAATCCTGACCTCATGATCCGCCCACCTCAGCCTCCCAAAGTGCTGGGATTACAGGCGTAAGCCACTGTGCCTGCTAATTTTTTTTACTTTAATCCTTGGCATATGATGAGATTATAAAGTGATAAAATCAATTTAAGATTGATAATTTAATGGCTTCTTTCTGTCTTAGCTTCTTTACCCATTGCACAATGTCACTAAGATTAAATGAGGTAATATGTATATTTGTAATATATAAAACGTTATACAAATATAAATCCAAATTAGGATATTATATTACATATCCAAATTAGGGTTTTTCTTCAAAGTAATCTCTTCTGAAGAATGTATACTTGTTATTTAATGAATAAACATGAGAAGGGTAGTGTGCTTGTGTAAAAATAGTTTGTCTTCTTTCTCTCTCTCTTTTTTTTTTAAGACGGAATCTTACTCTGTTGCCCAGGCTGGAGTGCAGTGGCGTGATCTCTGCTCACTGCAACTTCTGTCTCCCAGGTTCAAGCAGATTCTCCTGCCTCAGACTCCCAAATAGCTGGGATTATAGGTGCATGCCATTACACCCAGAGATGGGGTTTCACTGTGTTGGTCAGGCTTGTCTCAAACTCCTCACCTCAAGTGATTTACCTGCCTTGGCCTCCCAAAGTACAGGTGTGAACCACCGCACCAAGTCTCTATTCTTTCTCTTTCTCTTTCCTTTTCCTTTCCAGAACAATTAAGTTCTAAAGCCATTAGGTCGGCAACACAAGGTAGGTATCTGCACTAGAACAGGGAGAGTGCTGTGGAAGTTCAGAGAAAGGCATCAGAATCCAAGCAGACTGAGAAATGTCGACACAAAGAGGAGGAGCCTGAAGCAATATCAGAGCCAGAGCAGAGAGAGGAGGGCATCCATGCATGTGAGGGAGTGTGTGGAGAAAGATTAGTTACACAGAGGAAAATTGACCCAATATGTAGTAAATTAAAGCTAGCAAAAACCAGGTGTGTGTGTGTGTGTGTGTGTGTGTGTGTGTGTGTGTGTGTGTTCTTTGTCTACTTAGAGCATTTGGGGGAAGTAATAGGCCAATGACGAGCACACCTGGTAGCCGAGTCTTGATTTCTAAACACCATTTGCTACTAAAGAGAACCAGGGCTGCCTTTGGAATTGGCTGATTCTAGAACGGTGACAGATAAAAAGTACAAGATGAGCCTGGAACTTCTTGTGTCAAAAATCCGAGAAATGCTCAAGGAATAATGAAGACTTGTTAAATATATACAGAAACAATCTTGAAGGGGCTCCCACTGGCCAAATCATGGACAATTTGAGTGTCAAAATAAATAGGATAGGAAGGAATTAGGATGCATGGAATGGCGTAAGAAACCAGAAGTCCAATACAAGTAGTAATTAAAAGTTTAGTTAGGAATGAGATATTTACACAGCTTCAAAATAACTGCCCCAATGCTTGTTAATAACAAAGAGAAAAAAGAATAACTTTATAGTGGAGAAGCCAAAAAGGCTTGGCCTCTATCAAGAGATCAAAATAAACATCATCATTAATGAAAAAAATAGAAAACCTTTACGGCCTGATTAAAATGCAATGAAAAGAACACAGCATCACTTCTGCGATGTTTCTGCCAAAGATGTATAACCTAAATTTAATTATGAAGAAGCATAAGACAAACACACATTGAGGAACATATATCAAAATAAATAGATTGTAGTCTCCCCAAAAATATATATTTTATATATATCATATATAATATAGTCAGGAAAGCCAAGAAAAGCCCATGAACTCTTCCAAATTGAGGGACTCTAGAGGGATGTGACAACTACATGCAATATGTAATTCTGAACTGGATCCTTTGGTTTAAAAATCATTATTTGAATCATCAGAAAAATTTAAATGGGGTTTAAGGATTATAAGGTAATTATCAGCATGAATTTCCTGATTTTTATGTTTATGTAAGATTATGTAAGAATGCTCTTGTTTGTGGGAAATATACATTAAGTACTTGGGAATGCTGGGTATTAAGTCAGCAGTTTATGAATGGTTTTGAAAATATATTAATTCTCTTCATATTGTACTTGGAATTTTCTGTAAATGTGAGATTCCCCGTACTTCTATATCAGATGTTATTTATTTTCCATAACCTCTTAGGTGTGGCTGAGGCTGAGGCTGAGAGATAATCTAATAAAAGCTCAGTGAGAACTGTAGTAAGTGGGAGAAATAGGTTAATTCATTCGCACGGTTAGCAAGTTAAATAGCTATTGTAGTCACAACTTTCCAGTTATAGCCATGCTGTCATCGTTAGTAATATTTTGTGCCACTCACAATGTAATGGCTATAGACACAACACATTTTAAGGCTAAACCTGAACTATTAATATTTTTCCATCACTTTCTTGAGTCCAGAAATCAATGCACAGTAAATCAAGCCATAATTTTAGTATTTGCCTATTTTCATTCTCTAAAAACTCTCACTGCCACCAAGGCCATTGTCAGCCTATCAGTGTGATATCACTGAATTCAGAGACAGAATAGTAGGAACCAGAAGGATAAAATAGCCTGTGGGCAAAATATGGGCCAAACAAACAAACAAACAAACATGCTAGGCAAAATAGCACATTGTGTAAATTAGTTGACTATATAGAATTCACAATAAGGAGTATTATCTGTATACATTTTAATAGACTTTATTTTTAGAGCAGCTTTAGGTTCAGAGCAAATACAGAAAGTCCCTGCTTTTGTTTCTTTGTTTGCAGTGCTGTCCCAGAACTGGCTCATACAGGTGCACAAGAGCCAATAGATGTTCAGAGACTTTGTGAGACAGTTCTGAATGCAGCTATTGCTAAAATTACATTACGTAAACTTAAAAATAAGTCAACTATATTAAATGAAAGGTAACGCTCAGAATTAATCTCATCCTAATTATTTACTGCACATTACCATGACCTATGCACTTGAGGCTCTTGGTGTCTGTGAGATCTTTATTGTGCAAATGCTCTATATTGATGTGCTACTGCTTTCCCTGTCTCTGAATTCAGCAATATTATACTGGTAGCTTGAAAATGGCTTTGGTGGTAGAAGGGAGTATTTTTAGTATTTTTAGAATGAAAATACGTAAACACTACAAATCTTGCTTCGTTTACTTCATATTGATTTCTGGATCTGTAGTTTTTACATTGCGAGTGGCAAAAAACCTATTTTGTCCATGTTCAAAAACTAGTATCTGACCCAGAAAAGAAGTCACTTGCATTATTGATGAACTTGTGAAGTTCCAACAAATGTCTCTGTTATTTCAGCTCCTTCTAACAACCAACAAAGGAAATCAACCAACATTTATGTCAGAGCTACATTCAGCCGTCAGTTGAGACTATAAATTGGTTATGAATACAAAATTTTGGTGAAAACAAAAATAGCAAATTGTGAGAATTAATTGACTATACAGAGTCCACAATGAGGAGTATTGTCTATATCCATTTTTAATAGACTTTGTCTTTTAGAACAGTTTTAGGTTCACAGCAAAATTGAACAGAAAGTACAGTGTCTATTTGCTGTCTGCCCCCTCACGTGCACAGAACCCCTCATTATCAGCATCCCCCAAAGCAGTGCATTTGTTCTAATAGGTAGATGAACCTACATTGACACATAATTATCACCCAAGATCCATCGTTTACATTAGGGTTCACTCTTGGTGTTATACATTCTATGGGTTTTGACAAATGTATTCATAATCACAGTATGATACAGAATAGTTTCACTGCCTTAAAAATTGTCTGTACTCTGCCTATTCATCACTCCCTCACCCCTAACCCCTGGAAACCACTGATCTTTTTGCTGCTTCCATAGTTTAACTTTTTCCAGATGGTCACATAGTTGAAATCATACATCATGTAGCATTTTTGGATGAGCTTCTTTCACTTTGTAGTATGCATTTACCTTTCCTCTATTTCTTTTCATGGCTTGATAGCTTATTTCTTCTTAGCACTGTATAATACTCCGTTGTCTGGATGTACCACCATTTATTTATTCATTCACTTACTGAAGGACATCTGTGTTTCTTCCAATTTTTGGCAATTATGAATAAAGTTGTTATAAACATCTACATGTTATAACATCTTTTATTCTTTGGTAACTGTATATACATCACTTACATCGTTAAAAATTATAACAAATACATGTACTAATATATATTTATACTTCAGTGTCTCAGCTCTTAAATATTTACCAGCACACCACTGCTTAGAAGCTATGATAAACACTTTGGCTTTTACTGTGGGTAAAATAGGAAGCCACTGAACAACTTTAATCAAGGGAGTGGCTGACATTTTTAAAGGATCAGTCTAGCTGTGTTGATAGAGACCCTAGTGGAACAGAAAGAAGCAGGCAAGTATGTTAGGAGGTGATGGCCTCTAGGTGAGAGAGGATAGTGGCTTCCATGAAGTCCTCTAGCATGATGTAGTCTAGATGGCATTCCTAGAACATCTTCCCTGTGCCTTAGTTCCATTTCACTTGAATAAGCCATGCTTAAGGCATGTGAGAGTGGTCTATTATATAGCTCCCTCTTTCCTGCTCGAGTGGTAACAAATTCAGTAAAAGACAGGAGCAATTAGATAATCAAATCTAATTTTTATTGCATGTCAAAGCTGGGTTGGAGGACGTAGTTTAGTGTGAGAACAAAAATGAGCATGCTAACTCCTTATCCTTCAATCTAAGCCTTGGAATCTGAGAGAAAGTTAAACATGCAGAGTAGACATATTTTACAGAATGGAGAGAGAATAAACCACCAAGGCCTTTTTCTTTTTCTTTTGTCTTATCTCTTTTTTCTTCATGAATCTAGAATACAAGGATTTTATAGTACAGTACTGAAATAACTGCACTTATTTTTTCATGGTACTTGCTTCTTTTTCTTTTTTTTTTTAAATTAGAATTTTCCTTTTTCAGGTGATTTTGCACCCAGAGTTTCTGTCCTCCACCAGCCCCTTACTACCCATGGATTATGAAGAGTTTGTCAGAGGTTGTCACCTTGGAGTATTTCCATCATACTATGAACCCTGGGGTTATACTCCAGGTATGTGTCATGTATAGAATGTGGAATGTTTGGGATTTTGTTAGTATATTATTCTATGTGCATATACATACTATTCAAGGTTGAAATATTTCTAATAAGATTTCATTTCCTCAGTTTTAAAACACTTTTGGTTGAATTTCTCTCAGGGATGAATTTTATGGTTTGTAGATGATTACTTAAAAATAAAGATGAAGATCATACAAGTATACCACAGTTTGGGCATATTTTAGGAGGTATGTGAGACATTACCTCATTGAATTCCAAAGAAAAAGGAATGAATTATGAAGATAATATATTATTTAGCAATCTCTATCTGCCCCCTTTATTAGTGTGAAGGAGAAATTGACTATAAGTAGAATTAATATAAGAAATAATAGTCTAGCAATGTAGTTCTTTAAAACTTACTTCCGAAGAATTTTTTCTAAAAATATAAGGGCTGTATTTAATATGTAATAGGGAACACAGTCACATGGTAGGGAAGCAAATGTAAAAAGGTATACAGTGAAAAGTTTTCTTCACATTCCTTGCCTCAAAATAATAGGTACTAAGAGACACTAGCAATTCAGTGTTAAGTATTGTCAAAAATTAAATCATTCTATTCAGAAACTCCTCCTTCACCCTCCTTCCCTATTTTATTTTATTTTAATAGATGGTAAATTCTCAGAACCACTAGGTATTATTCTTTTCCGGACCCTACTAGCATCATTGCCATTAGCATTGAAAGTGATCAATTTGGGCCGGGCAAGGTGGCTCACGCCTGTAATCCCAGCACTTTGGGAGGCCGAGGTAGGCGGATCACGAGGTCAGGAGTTCGAGACCAGCCTGACCAACATTGTGAAACCTCGTCTCTACCAAAAATACAAAAATTAGCTGGGCGTGGTGGCACACACATGTAATCTAAGCTATTCAGGAGGCTGAGGCAGGAGAATTGCCTGAACCTGGGAGGTGGAGGTTGCAGTGAGCCAAGATCATACAACTGCACTCCAGCCTGGGCGACAGAGTGAGACTGCGTCTCAAAAAAAAAAAAGAAACCACAGAAATAAGCTGGGCGTGGTGGCAGATGTTTGTAATTCCAGCTACTCAGGAAGCTGAGGCAGGAGAACTGCTTGAACCTGGGAGGCGGAGGTTGCAGTGAGCCGAGATTGGGCCATTGCACTCTTGCCTGGACCAAAGAGCAAAACTACATCTCAGTAAGTAAGTAAGTAAATAAATAAATAAATATTTTAAAAAGTGATCAATTTGTATTTGTACTGAAATGCCCAATTAAAAGGGAAACAAATACTTTAAATACATGCCAATGCAAAGAATACAATAATAACTTTTCCATCTCATTAATTATTAGAGATTTTTCTGCCCAATGTAAATAAAATTTCACTTGTGATTTTATTGTTTCGTTGGACTGGAGTCTCGCTCTGTCGCCCAGGCTGAAATGTAGTGGCACAATCTTGCCTCACTGCAACCTCCGCCTTCTGGGTTCAAGAGAGTCCCCTGCCTCAGCCTCCCAAGTAGCTGGGATTACAAGTGCATGCCACCATACCCAACTAGTTTTTGTATTTTTAGTTGAGATGGGGTTTCATCATGTTGGCCAGGCTGGTCTCAAACTGCTGGCCTTAACTGATTCACCTGCCTCAGCCTCCCAAAATGCTGGGATTATAGGCATGAGTCACTGCACCCAGCCTTGTCACTTGTGATATTTAAAAACTTCAGAAGACATTTTTATTTATAATGGAGATAATAAATTTTGCCTTACCTCAATGTCATCCTTCACATAAAGCTCAAGTAAGGAGCAACAGAGGCCAAGATCAGGTGGAATCACAGGCTGAATTATGAAGAGGAAGACATTTTTCTATTATTAGTATTATTATTATTTGAGATGGATTCTCACTCTTGTTCCCTGGGCTGGAGTGCCATAGCGTGATCTCAGCTCACTTCAACTTCTGCCTCCCGGGTTCAAGCAATTCTCCTGTCTCAGCCTCCCGAGCAGCTGGGATTATAGGCGCCCACCATCATGCCTGACTAATTTTTGTATTTTTAGTAGAGATGGGGTTTCGCCATGTTGGCCAGGCTGGTCTCAAACTCCTGACCTCTGGTGATCCACCCACCTCAGCCTCCCAAAGTGCTGGGATTACAGGCATGAGCCACTGCGCCGGGCCATTATTTGCATTCTTATCCTATAATTAACATATAGAACTTAAAATTCTACAAAAATAGAATCCTATATTGTTCACAGCAGGAACAACATTAGGGCTGCACATCTTTGGTCATAAGTTCCTTTTCTATTGTTCTAGGTTTCACCAACCATAATTTGCCAGCAGCTATAAAAACTTTAACATTTCTTGGGAAAAATAGACAAAGGATTGTCTTGAAATGTGACATAGCAAATGTTTGTATCTAACTCCTCCAGGTATCTGTCTTGCAGATCTAAAAATGGTCTACTTTCGTGAAGGTGGTATCTTCCTGCTTGAAATGTCCACATGAACATCTCAAATAGCTTGCAATAGGGTATCTGTCTTTCGAGATACATAAAGCACACATTTCCCTGTTGAACTTAACACTTTGTTTTTGACCTTATTATTTCTAGTAACATGATTTACTATTGGAAGTATCACGGATAGAGGAACACACAACCAAATGCATGAGTGACTGAGGCAAGTGGGAAGTCCTTTCTGTCAGGACAAAAGAATGTTATAGAACTCACAGCAGACTGTCCACCACAATGTCATTTTATAGGGCAAAGTTACACGTAACCCAAAAATGATAGGGGAGATATAGCTAATGTTTTAAGATAAAGGCCAAAGAAGATGTTATAAAAGATATTATAAATAGACAAATAAGGGAGTTTCTGGAATACGCCATAGTGAATGAGTCAGTCTGTGTTTTACATTGTTCCAAGGGAGCTGGCCACTCTTCCTCTAACCTACAGTTTTAGAAAGAATGCAACTTTTGTTGGCATACATTTAACATTAGCATATTAGATAGCTCTCTAATTTTTTTTAGAATAATCTTTTTATGCGTTACTAGATCTAACTCTCTCCAGAAAGTATTCATCAAAATGTGTTTTCAGAGAGCCAAATAAATATAAGCACTTATTTTATGAAATTAATTTGATGAATATGTACTGAACTTCATGGGTACCTGGAATTTTACTACATAGTGAATTGATACATATAAGAATACACATAAGTATATAAAATTTTCATCATCCTTGGTGAACAAACACAGGAACAGAAAACCAAACACTGTGTGTTCTCACTCATAAGTGGGAGTTGAACAATGAGAACACTTGGACACAAGGAGGGGAACATCACACATCGGGGTCCATGCGGGGGGTTGGGGCAAGATGAGGGAGAGCATTAGGACAAATACTTAATGCAAGCGGGGCTTAAAACCTAAATGATGGGTTGATGGGTGCAGCAAACCACGATGGCACATGTATATCTATGTAACAAACCTGCACGTTCACCACATGTATCCCAGAACTTAGAAAGGAAGGAAGGAAGGAAGGAAGGAAGGAAGGAAGGAAGGAAGGAAGGAAGGAAGGAAGGAAGGAAGGAAGGAGCAAAAAGAAAAAGAATAGGATATTCTTCAACTCCCAACTCCCATGGAAGGTGGAGCTGAATCCAGGAGGAAGTCTGAGGAAATAAAAATGTGTAAAAAGGGAAAAAAAAAGAGTATTTCTGGAGATGGGTTCCAAAATGTTCATCAGATTCTCAAAAGGGCTGATAGTCCCCATCCCACTTTCCTCCTCTGCACCACCTGCCACTAAAATTAGAGAAGCACAACTCCGTAGCTATGTAGCTAAACCAAGGGGAAGCATTTGCAGAGCAAGAGATAAGGCTGCCATCTAAATTGTATTACTTCATGGGAATGGGAAGATCTTTTTTCATCCATCTCCACTCACCAACAAAGGGTAATTTCATTATCAATTATAAATTCTTAAAAATGCCGACATCCTTGAGACTAGCAAAATTTTTAAGATGTATCAGTTGTTTCCTAGAAAACAGATTTTGATTAAAAGGTGAGGAAGGACTGAAAGAGATCTCCATTTATTGAGCTCCTGAGACAGTGGAAGGAATATATACCAAGAGACATTTAAATGGAGGAAGAAGCTGGTTGTGTCCAAAATGTATTTAACCTACTCCATAAATTTGCCAAGTACATAGAAACAAAGCCTAGAAAGAAGCTAAAAACAAAACCAGCTGAAATTGAAGGTGCAGTAGAGCCTGGCGGTTCTGCCCAAGGGTTCTGCAGCTGGGTACCTGACTTCAAATCCCAGCTATATCATAAACCTTGGCTTTGCGAAGGTAGGCAAGTTATTAATTTATCTGTGCCTCAATTTCTTCAGCTGTAAAATGGGCATAATGGTAGCCCCACCTCACAGGGTTGTTGAGAGATGAAATAAGTTAATGAAACATGTAAAGAGTTTACTGTTTTGCCCGACACCAAGTGAACACTGCCGTTATTAGGAGGACTAGGGCCTTTTTCTCTGAGTGCATACAAAGATACAGGCGCTGGTCTGAAGCAGAGCTTTCATTTCCCCTGGCAGCTGAATGCACTGTGATGGGGATCCCCAGCGTGACCACGAATCTCTCCGGGTTTGGCTGTTTCATGCAGGAGCATGTGGCTGATCCTACTGCTTACGGTAAGGTTTTTCATCATTAACCCAACCTGGGGAGATGTGACCTCAAACCAAACAAGGCACAGGGTCTTTACAAAGCCTAACTCTAAAGCTATCCTGATAATAATGTTTTTATATTTCTTGTTTAATTAAAAGTTGATTTAGGCCGGGCATGATGGCTCATGGCTGTAATACCAGCACTTTGGGAGGCTGAGGTGGGTGGATCACTTGAGCTCAGGTGTTCAAGACCAGCTTGGCCAACATCGTTAAATCCCATCTCTACTGAAAATACAAAAAAAAAATTAGCTGAGTGTGGTGGCACACTCATGAAATCCAAGCTACTCAGGAAGCTGAGGCACAAGAATCGCTTGAACCTGGGAGGTGGATGTGGCAGTGACCTGAGATCGTGCCACTGTGTTCCAGCCTGGGTGACAGAGCCTCAGGCTGCCTCAAAAAAAAAAAAAAAGTAGATTTATAAATAGAATTATGTCCTTTGCAGCAACATGGATGCAGCTGGAGGTCATTATCTTAAGTGAATTAGTGCAGGAACAGATAACCAAATACTGCGTGTTCCCACGTGTAAGTGGACACAAAGATGGAAACAATAGACATCTGGGAACTGCTTGAGTGGGGTGGTGGGTTGAAAGACTACCTACCAGGCGCTATGTTAATCACCTGGGCAATGGGATCATTTGTACACCAAGCCTCGGCAATACGCAACGTACCCATATAGCAAATGTGCACGTGTACCCTCTCAACCTAAACTAAAAGTGGAGGAAAAAGGAGCTTTAAGTAGGTGGTCCCTAAATAACATAAGAATGCTGTTAATATTAATATATTACTGCAAAAAGAGTGCAAAACTTGGATAAGCTTTGTCCTTTACCTTTTTTTAACCCCTGAATTTTGATCCCTTCTACTGCCTAGAAGTGATATTACAGTAATTATGGTCTTAGAGTACATATATTGGTCATTAGATAGAGAGTACATATGTTATTATTATTGTTATTATTTTAAAGGCCCATCTCAAGTTAGCAAAGTTCACCTAAATTGTTTAAGTTGTTTAAGATGGCAAAATAATTTGCAAACTATTATCTGTCTGTTCATATGGCCTAGCAGTAAGAAGTTAGAATGAGATACATTCTCTGCCTATACCTTGCCAATTCCCTGGGTTTTTTTTTTTTGGAACATGCTCTCACTCTGTTGCCCAGGCTGGAGTGCAGTGGCCTGATACTGGCTAACTGCAGCCTCCACTTTTCTGGCTCAGGTGTTCCTCCTGCCTCAGCCTCCCGAGTAGCTGGGGCTACAGGCACACACCACCACGCCTGGCTAAATTTTGTATGTGGAGATAGATTTCTCCATGTTGCTCAGGTTGGTCTCAAACACCTGGGCTCAAGGAATCCACCCACGTCTGTCTGCCAAAGTGCTGGAATTACAGGTGTGAGCTACAGAGTCCTGGCTTTCCCTTAGTCTTTTACAGGTGTAGTGTTGCTCTTTCCTCAGGCTATAGGTGTGGTTTTCAGCCACAGCTGCACAGGGGGAACACTGGGGAGCCTAAAAGGCACAGATATCCATGTCCTGCCCTGGAAATTCTGGTTAGTGAGCAACCTCATGGAGGATCACTGATCCAGTGATCCCTAGACTGCCAAATTATTTTTCAGCAAGATCCACTTTGTTGGCTGTATGTCGGTGATAGTTATAAACCATTAGAAGGGAATTAGTGCCTTAGAAAAGAATAAAGTGGAGGTAATTGCTGAGTAAGGGGTAGATAATGCATAGGTCTTTGATGGAACCAAAGAGTAAATCATAAAAGGCAAACGTTTAAGATGAGTCCTACTTTTATTTGTGCTTTGGCTTTTGTGTTTTCAGGTATTTACATCGTTGACAGGCGGTTCCGTTCTCCAGATGATTCTTGCAATCAGCTGACTCAGTTTCTCTATGGATTTTGCAAACAGTCACGCCGCCAAAGGATTATCCAGAGGAACCGAACCGAGAGGCTCTCAGATCTTCTGGATTGGAGATACTTAGGCAGAGTAAGCAAGTTTTGATGAACACAGCAGACCACTTAAAAAAATCCACTGGATTATAAACATGTTGAGTCTAGTCCTAATCTTTAAAGTTAATCCAATATTATAATTGTTAAAATCTCAGTGTCTCCATGTACTTCTTAAAATTTAATGAATTTACAAAGTCCTACACCCAATACTTCAAGTTTAGTTTGAGTCTCTCTGTAATAGCAAGTTCATCCGGATCTAGCACTAATCTTACAGTTATTCCATTGTCAGTGCTTCACTTGATGTGTTACTGGTGTAAGAAAACATTTTGTGAAGTTGAGGAAAACATCAAAAGAAAAGTCCCTACGACATTTGTTTCTAGAAAAATAGTGTGGTCATATTTCTTAACTACAGTAGGGAGCAGGAATAATACAGTTTTTCAAAATGACAAGCACAGGAAGTACCTCCTCTCAATCGTGCGATATGTTTATAAACACCTGGGTGCTCACATAGCTCAGCAGTGGTGATTTCATAATAAACAGATTGACTTTGCCTTCACCTAATGGATCTGTCTGCATAGTGCCGAACACTCTTGGCCGAATGATAGATGCTGCCATTTGCTGAGTATCTGCACACACAAATGCCAGCGCTCATTACGACCTGGATGATTAAGTTTATTATCTCTATCTTACAATGAAAATAGATACACTAGGCTTTTAGAAGTGATATTTCTTACCTAAGGTCTGAAGCAGGATTTACACCTGATTTATCTGAATATTCAGGCACTATCTTTTTTCCATGCCACACTGCTTCTCTGTGAAATGAAACCAGTGTTTTCAATCACCTTAACGCTCAATTCAGAGCTCATTAATACCAGTATGGGCATTCTCCCCCAGCTTTTCATAGTATTTCTTTGCCTATGTGTTGAAAATAATAAAACTATAAACTGTAATTTCTTTCCTGAATCTCAAATGTAGAATGCATAGATTCTGTCACTTTAAAAAAATATGTATGTTTCAGAACTAGGAGAAAAAAGCCTTATTTAATAACTTGGTTATTGGGATATAAGGGTTTTTCTTTTAACCTGTGATTTCGCTTTCTGTCAATAGTATTACCAGCATGCCAGACACCTGACATTAAGCAGAGCTTTTCCAGATGAATTCCATGTGGAACTAACATCACCACCAACGGTAAATATTCAATGTATTGTTTGTTTTGAAAGCTATATTTCTTTTTGTAAGCTTAAATAATGCCTTTAAATTTGGAATAACTGTGCACACAAGCTATAATACTTTTCCATAATGTTGAATCAAAGCAAAGAAGAGAGAGAGGAACTCACAAATCAGACTATCTTAAAGCTCTCAATTCAGAGTCAGCCTTATATATAGGATGAGTAGACAGTTAATTCGTGTCATTAGAGAAGCATCTCTGAATTAAATATTTCTCTACCTCAATGCTTGAAATGGTTCCGATGGACATTTATGCTTTAGGGAGTTGTTCAGTAATAAACTGGACTGCTTTAATCGAAAGTGAATTTGCTATCCAAGGAAGTGTTTAAATACAGTATGATCACTTGGCAAGAGTGAAATAGAGTAAGCTCAGCACCCCAGGAAGAATTGAACTAGATGAGCATTTATGTTCCATCCGGCAATGCCCACCGAGGTGTCTTCTTCTAAAATCCAACTAGACATTTATGTTCATGAGACTGCCAAAGGCCACATTTGTCATCAGATTCACCTAGCAGGGTAGAAGATAGGAGGTGCCGCTTGAAGCAGGGTAGCATCAGGCATTTCTCTTTACTGGGATTGGTCCTCGTAGTAGTCTCCACAGTGGTCCAAGAGCTAAACATCTTTGGCCCCCTACACACTAGGTGACATCTTAGGTGCAAGAAGGTAAGACCCATACCATTGCAAATGAGATCACCTTAGCTTAGTAGCTCCATTCCCCCACAGAAGCCTCTATCTCATGTAAATCCCTGGAAAGCAGCTTCCATGCTCCCTGCCAGGAATATGCTCAATTACAAGAGTCATCACATTCAGAGATTCCCAAAAACTTTGGCTCCTCATCAAGTATTTATAGATTTTTCAGTTTAGATATAATTTCTCAATCAGGGGTCACTGTTGCCATAAATAATTATGCCTAATAACACGACTTATAGTCCACCTATATATCCAGTTTCCAGAGGAACAGGTCTAGAAAGTCAACCTGAGATAAAATTTTCCCATAAAGAAGGTGATAAGGATTTCATAAACCCTCAATCTATAAATTCTGTCTTTCCTGTTTATGATTCTAGCATTCAGAGTTGATTGCTTAGCTTATTTAGAGGTGGTCATTCCACTTAATGATAATTCAGCAATATTCATCCATTAATCTGCTTATCTACTTATTTATTCAGTTATTATATTGAATAAGCATTGAGCACCTACTTCAAGCTAGGTCCAAAGTGCAGAATTCAGTTCTTTTGTTGTATTGCTTACAGGTAAAGTATCTGAACCTTAAAATGACTGTACATGTGTGACATGATAGTAATGTATAAAATAGTTGAAATACAGAGTGACGAGCGCTGACACTTTTAAACATCTGTCTCCCCATTCAATCATATGCATGCCAATCATGGTTTTTCATCTGCTTTCTTAGTGGCATTGTTGTGCCTGATACATAATTGGTGCTCAGTATGTGTTTATCAAATAAGTTATCTCAGTATCTCAAGTAGAAGGGCAAATTAATTAAAGTCTAGTGGTATTTTATCATTAGCTGAAATAACAGCAACTGGTGGAATTGTTGGGCTATTGAAGTGGCCTGACTTCCAGCATGCCTTCTAGTGGTGGCTGTCCATGGCATTTCCAGGCCACGCACATATAGCAGCTTTGTTGAGCAAATTTGAAGGATGACATAGAGACTAACAGTATCAGCAATGTAAGATGGCAATTGAGATTAAAGCTTCTGGAGTCATCACAGACCTGGGTCAAATCTTTGCTCCACTATCTATTTGCTGTGTGAGGTTGGGCAAGCAACTTGACCTCTCTAACCCTCCATTTGCTTCTGTAATGGAAAAAACAAAGTTATCAGGGTGTTGTTAAAAGATGAGATGATATAACATGTATATAGCACCTGGCACATTTCAGTACTTAATACAAAATAGCTATATATTTAATGAATCCCTCTTGAGGTTGGTGGTATCAAAATCAAAATGAATCAAAGTTTAATAGCACCTGAACAGACTACAAAAGATAACTACTTAAAAAAAAATTGAATGTGCACGAACAGAATTTACATCATTGAAAACCAAGAAATTGTTATGATATTTATGTCCTATTTTTGTCTTTGGCAGACAGAAGGATTTAAATATCCCAGGCCTTCCTCAGTACCACCTTCTCCTTCAGGGTCTCAGGCCTCTAGTCCTCAGAGCAGTGATGTGGAAGATGAAGTGGAGGATGAGAGATACGATGAGGAAGAGGAGGCTGAAAGGGATCGGTTAAATATCAAGTCACCATTTTCACTGAGCCACGTTCCTCGTGGAAAGAAAAAGCTGCATGGTGAATACAAGAACTGAATTCTACATGTGCCGAACAGAGCTAATTTAGAAAAGCGAAGACTAATTATTTCAAATAACGAAAATGCCACAAATTTCATTTTCTCTTTCTAAGTATTACAATGGAATTTATTCTCTGCTCAAAAAGTGGAAGAAATTGAGTGAATGACAATTTCATAATTTAAAATAAGATCCAAGTTATTTTCCCCAACACTTGTTTCCCCCATAAAGTTAGGCATGAGGAGGAGCACTAATTAAAACCAGAAAATGGAAAAGTGTTTTTAAAATGTTGAATTTAAGTGGTAAGGATTTTTCTCTTACTCTGTTTAGTTTTAAATTATCACCATAATCCTTTGCTTAGTATTTATGCAACTTCTCTATCCCACCACACAAATCTCCCATTCCCCCCTGAAAACCCTGATCTTACCCATAAATGTGCACTGCCTACATATTTTAAATAGCTAGATTTTTACTAATTATTTTTATTTTTCACATGCATCAGAAACATGGTTTATATGTAGTTTTACAGAGACAAAATCCATGAGTGAATAGCTATCCTAAGTCCATACTTTGATGCATGTTAATGCACATTTATGTCACTTTTGAAATCTAGAATTGATCTTGTAATTAATGACAGATATTACCATGTGCATGGTACTGCCATCTTACTGTAACATTTTCCTATTGTTTAACTTTGTTTTTAAAAATTTGGTCAGTCTTCATAGATGATAAGTTGTTAAATCCAAGTAAATAAATACATTAATATTTAATAACTTTCATTGATAATGCCTTGTTTTGAAATTGTTTGACATTCAAATAGTATGTGAGAAGCAGCTGTCATGAATAATTCCTAGAGAAGCAATCTTTTAAAAAATAATTAGAAAAAAATAGACCATCTATTTAGTTGTAGTAAGAACAATGTCTCTAACATATTCTGTGATGTGCAGAGTCATAGTTGAATGATTACTAATTTAGCAGATTTATAGTTTAAGTGTAATTAAATCTAAATTAGTACCAAAACTAAAAACAAAAAACACATTATTGGATTGCTTTTTTTTCATAAGTAGTTATTCACTGTGAGTTCAATTTAACTCACAGTGACTTCCTTCATTGACGTATCAATTGGCCTCGTTCTGAAGGGGCTCTAAAAAATTTTAGTCTTCTTAGTGCTGGATTATTGATGGCAAAAATGGAATAGTGCACAAGGTGTCAGATGATTCAAGACCATTGGAAAACTAATCCAGCCCTTCTATTGCTCCGTTAGCTAGAAAAAAGTAGAAGACTGTTGGATACAAGCAGCAAATCAGACCAAAATGGAAGGTGGTTGGAAATTTACTTTATTTAGATGTACAGAAATAAGAGAAATAGTGCATCTAAAATCTACCCTATGACAAATGCTTTTTGGATACCAGTTAACCCAGCATCTCCAGAACAGTTTGAAATGCTCTGTACTGGAGAGTAGAAAAAATTTGAGATGGACTTATATTATAGGCTCGTTCGCTGAAGTATCAGAACGATCTTGTGATAAACGGGGAGTTCACTGTTACAATAACCATGAAAATGTATCCCTGGTAAAGTGGCATAACGTGTGTATTCAAATGATACTCTTGATTGGTAACCGGTTGCTTGACAGCTATTGAAAACATGGCTACATAGTAAAATACCTCGAGATGTAAGTGGTTTTTGTTCAATGAAAGAATAGTTCTATGATAAGAAGTGTGTACAAATGATAGTGCACATGGAATTTAGCTGACTTGCAAACACGTGGCTTTGACAGCGTGTGAAGGAGTCAACTTCTCTCCTGTACTCGTTCCCCTATTCAGACAGCTGCTGCTAGGTGACGCCATCCCTCCACTCTTTGTCATTTCTTTGTCCTTTTCCCCAAGGAGAAGAAACTATGATTGTTAGCAGATGGCTCTGTGTCTAGTACAGTGCCTTGTACATAATAGTTGCATAAATAAATGGTCTTATTGGGAGATATAGAGGTTCAAAAAACTGTTGCTTTTAAAGAATGTATGTATTCACAAGTTGAGGGACAGGAACTATAGAAAAGAAGTGTGTGGTGCCTGATCAGCTGACAGAAAGACCCGTTTTATGGATTGTACCACCTGCTATAGTTTGAATGTTTGTGTGCCCCCCAAATTCATCTATAGGTGCTTCTTGACTTATAATGGGGTTATGTTTAGATAAACCCATTCATATTTTCTTTATTTTGTTTTATTTTTGAGACAGATTATTGCTCTGTTGCCCAGGAGGGAGTGCAGTGGTGTGATCTCAACTCACTGCAACCTCAGCCTCCCAGGCTCAAGCAATTCTCATGCCTCAGCCTCCCGAGTAGCTGGGACCACAGGCATGTGCCACTATACCTGGCTAATTTTTATATTTTCTTTTCAGTAGAGACATGGTTTTGCCATATTGGCCAGGTTGGTCTTTAAACTTCTGGCCTCAAGTGATCTGCCCACCTCAGCCTCCCAACTGGGATTACAGGCATGAGCCAGCATGCCAGGCCAACCCACTGATACTTTTAATTTATGATGGGCCTATCAGAATATAAATCCATGGTAAGTCAAGGAGTGTACTTAATGTATATTGCTTTCATACCATCGTAAAGTTGAAAAATCATAAATCAAACAATCAAAAGTTGGCCCTGTCTGTATTGAAATCCTAATCTCCAGTGTGATGGTATCCACAAAAGAGGCAGAGCCTTCGGGAAGCGATTAGATCATGAGGGCAGAACTTTCATGAATAGGATTACTGCTTTTATAAAAGAGGCCCCAGAGAGCCGCCTTGCCCTTTCCACCATGTGAGGGCAGCAAGAAAGTGCCATCTATGGAGAATGGGCCTTCTGTCAGACACTGATTCTGTTGACATCTTGATCTTGGACTTCTCCGGTTCCAGAATTGTGTGAAATAAATGTCTGTTGTTTATAAGCCATCTAGTTTGTGGTATTTTGTTTCAGCAGCCTGAACTGATCAAGACACTACTGTTCCTTCCATGATAAGAGTTAGATTGCACAGACCTGGTTTTACATATACAGACAAGAGTATAAAATGTTATAGGTGTGTACTAATAGTTTTCCAGGGTACGAGGAAGACTCAGGAAGGGGACTGGTCAAGACATGGAATGAGCCCAAATATCTATGAGTAATATGGGCGATAAGAGGACCCATTTCACACAGTGGTTGTGAGGACCAAATCAAATTAAAAATGAGCTCGTTCTAAAGACATTTGCAGTCCAGTACGAAGGGACTGAACAGAATGAAGTTACATTCCCAGCTTCCCTTTCTTTTGATGTCATTCAAGGTTGATAAGATACACATTTTTATTTATCGTAACCAGGTAAAGAAGAAATGCAAGCCAGGGCCCTTTTGCCTTCTTCTCTCCTCTCTTAGGAACGCAACGATGGTATTGGGGGAGAGAAGGCAACTTCCAAAAAACAAAGAATAATCAAGACCCCACAATGGAGGCCAGATAGCCGAGGTAGGCTATAGAGACCAAAAAGGGAAGAAAAAGGGAAGGGCAATGGGAACTGTGCAGAAAGTGGCTGAAAGCCCTACCTGGAGATTAGGGTATTTTAATCCGTATATCTGTGTTGAAGGCAGAAATTCTCAATTTTAAAACACAAGCCATACAATGTGAAAGTTTTCTGATCTATGATCACTTCTTCGTTTTTGTTTGTTTGTTTGTTTTCTGAGACAGAGTCTTGCTCTGTCACCCTGGCTGGAGTGCAGTGGAGGGCACTGGCATGATCTCAGCTCACTACAACCTCCATCTCCTGGATTCAAATGATTCTTCTGCCTCAGCCTCCTGAGTAGCTGGGACTACAGGCAGGCACCACCATGCCCAGCTAATTTTTGTATTTTTAGTAGAGACGGGGTTTCACGATATTGGCTACGCTGGTCTTGAACTCCTGACCTTGTGATCCTCCTGCCTCGGCCTCCCAAAGTGCTGGGATTATAGGCATGAGCCACCATGCCTGACCCATTTCAGTTTTTTAAAAAGCTAGTAATAAACAGTATGCAGACACCATAGAGAGTTGGAAAGTTACAGAAAATTGGGAAGAGGGACCTTTGTAATTAATTAGCATATTTGTACATTTGAACATTCGAGGAATTTGAGTACTTAGCATATGTGAAGCTGTATTTTAACAGTTACTTGCCATTGAGACAGCTTTTAAAACAATGATTAGTATGAAATTTTTGAGATTGTTCTGGTTAGTTGTGGGAAGAATTATTTCATAAGATAGATGTTAAAAGTGTTCTTCGAATACACATACTATTTGAATAGTCAATATGTAAAAGTTTGTGTCTAATAAGTAAATAATTTTTAATATCTCACGCCTCCTAACAGTGAAGTGGTTAGGACTCTGTATAAACAAAAACAATGCTTTTGGGAAAAAATTTCAATAAATTGGATGTAAGCACTGCCTAGTAAATCTACTTTCAAATCAAACCATAATTAATGACAGGTGCCTATTATAATGCCACACAGATTTTTTTAATGCTCACAAGTTATTTTTTGACAGAGATCAACATTACATTAACTTGAATTTAGTTCCATTATTATGAAACAAGATACAGATAAATCCTATAAGCAGAGTTCTGACTACTTAACATAGTGAAATTGCAATTCCACATTACAGAGATATTCATATACAGACATTCTTGGGCTATTAAATAATGGCTACGTACTGATGACAATAAAAATTAACAATACTTTCCACTTATGACATTTGTCAATAACAACTCTGAATTAGGTAAAAAATAATTAACATGATGGTCATATTGTAATATTAAATAAATACATTATTATGTTTGCCACAGGAGTATGTATGTGTGTGTGTATATTCGGATGGTACTGAACTCAAGTTGGCTTTTAAAAAGGAGGATATCAGGCATATTACTGTGCACTTATGTTATCAGAGTGATTTATGTAATGCTATGTCAAATAAAATCTAGAGTCTAGTCAATTAGAGTAAGCAGAGTACATGAATCTGCTGAGTCTGTTTGGCCATGGAAAATGAGTTACTTCTAACAAAACAGGCTTGTTCCCTCTTCCAATATGTAAACAACAGAGTGTGTCTCTATTGCTTATTTCCCAGTAACTTTTGGATACATGTTTCTAAACTGAATGCAAGGTAGTTCCCAAAGAGCACAAGGGGAGCTCCGAGCTCTGGATCTTTGGCAAACCTGCTACCTCAATGACTGTCTCCTCCCAGCAACCACACTGAAACGTTCCTATCACAGGGCTTCTCCCCAGCCATCCAATTTATCTTCTTAACTGACCACTCCTGAATGAGCTCTAGAGAGTCATACTCTTCTATTTCCCATCCTGCCAAGCTTCTTACCTTAATCCCACCTCCTTGGGATGGGTTAAAAGGAAAACAGAGAGGGAGAATTTCTGCTGAGTGAAAACAAAATGCAAGTGGGTAACAAAATTTAAAAAAAGAAACTAAGATTAAGATAGTTACTGGCTGTAATTAAAAGGAAAGAACACTTTAGTCTTCAGCCTTATAATTATAAATATTCTAAGAAACTCAGGAGTAAGACACAAGGTAATCTCAACATTTTTGGTGATCTAAATAGGACCTGAAGCAATGAAAGAAGGTGATGTTCTCAGTTACGCATCCTATATATTTTTTTGTTTCCAAAAGAATAAAACTATCTGTGGGTATTCTTAAGATTACAAATGGAATAAAAGAGTCCAAAGGTTTTATTTGTATGTTCATGTTTTCAAAGAGACTAGAACTATAATTAAATATAATCTAGTATATTTTCACCAGTTTAGCAGACTATCTTCCAGGAACCTGGGTTGATCAAAGTTTTTTTCTTCACCTGTAAGAAAAAACAATTATTTAAAATAAATATACACTCTGCATATAAATGAGGAAAATTAAAAGAGGAAAAGGTAAGACAAAGAAAATCTCAGTAAATAAACATTTAGCCTTCTAAATTATGCTAACTCGTGAACTCTGCTACTGAGAATTTAAACAACATGGGTTTTGATTTGTTCAGCTTAAAATCTTTCCTTCTCAGCTTGGGACACATTGGGGGTTTCATACTTTATATCTGAATCTCTGTAATGAATGAAACTATAATATGGGATGTCTGGTAAAAATCTGAAAGAGCCATGTGTCTTGCTCTCACAAGTTGACTTCTGTCTAAAATACCTGCCGTGAAAATAATTCACTTGCACCAAAGGATTGTCTCTTTATATTTCCTGTTAAAATGGATCTTACTCGGGAAAGATGACACAGGAACACGTTTGCAAATGTTCTTTTGTTAGGGGAGCTAGAGTTCTGGGGGGGAAATGAGAAAGAAGAAGCACGCCTGGGTGGGATGGCGAAACTTTAGAGCTTGAGGTGGGGATACTTAAAGAGTCGGACAGTAGCAGGTTCCTGGGCTCTAAAAATAGGATAGAATGACTAAAAGTTACTATAAGGTAGGGAGGAGGAGTGGCTAGGGCAAAGTGCATGTACTAATTTCTTCTAAGATCACCTCTAGATAAAACCACATTCTTTCTGTTAGTTGCAATATAATTTGAATATCTGAGTTACATCCTAACCTGTATTTCTAGCACACTTTAAACCATTGCAGAGAATGGGCTTCTCTTTAAAGGGAAGGAAGAGAACAAAACAAAACCAAACCAGAACACCGTCCCTGTATAAATTCCACTGAAACCAAAATTCACTACATAAAATAAGAGCCTTCTAAATATCAAGGGAGTATAGAATAAAAATACTGAAGTGATTAATACTAGTGATTAATTTATCATTTGGGAATTAAACATTTTTCTATCGATTTAGACTGATAAAATTAGTCATTTCATCTTCAGAGACCATACACTTAGAAAACTTCAGTAATTAAAAAAACACACATTTATTTTCCAAATAAGAGATGGGAACCTAAAATCACATCCTTTCCTCAAATTACTTATGAAGATACCTCTCCTTTTTAAAATTAGCTCTCTCTTGCCCATTACAGGTCACTTTCCTTTCTGGCTTTGCACATCTTCCCAACAATCAAATCTAAAATATCACTATCAACCAATCTCCATCAGAGCTCTATTTTTACTGACTTCAAAAATCTCTGGGTTCCACATCTAGGGTTTTAAAAAGATCACCTTGGATACATTATCCTCTACCCATTATTCAACTATTTCACACCTTTTCATTGCTAGAGTTTTGAGAGTCATGCCAGCTCTCCAGAGCCTTGGACCCTGCTTTCTCTTAACTTTGCAGTTTACTTTCTTGTACCAAATTCTGTCTAAACAAGATTTCAGATACAGAACAGCAGAAGTAAGTTGTGTCACTGGACAGGAGGTTGGGGGGATGTCCTGTGATGCACTGTTTAAAGTCCCCTGAGCTGTATATTCTTACTAACCATTCTACTACAGTTAACCATTCTGATAGCTTCCATCCTTGGAAAGTTTCAAGAGGGGAGTAATCAGTAGCATCAACTACCGAATAAATTCTGGAATACTCTGTTATTTTGATTTTCCTCTTATCTTTCTGCTTGCTCCTTTTAATGTCCCTTCACGGATACTATTTTCCCCTATTTCCTTGATTTTTTGGTGTTTTATTATCTTCCATTTTCCTATTACATCTAAGCCCTAGAAGGTATCTCCATTCTCAAGATTCCAGGCTTTATTAACTGCCTCTGAAGTTCCTGTTGTTTTCAAACCCAACCAATCATCGGAATAATGTGGAAGAACTTCTTAAGGACAGAGATTCTTTGGCCTCACTCAAACAGTACAGAATTAGAATCTCTGGGCCTAAGGCCAAGAAATCTCTACTTTTTTTTTTTCAGTGATCTCTCCAGGTAATTGCGATGTCACCAGTCCACAGATGGATAGTGGAGAACTCTGACCCACATAACTTTATTGACTAGAAGGTCCCTGTCACTTTGAATTGAATTCTTCTCCATATTCACAAAAATTTCCACTCCTTATTATCATCATCATCACCATTTTAAACTCTCAAACACAACACTTTAAAAATGTGCTTGACTCTGGGTTCTCTCTTACATCTTTAGTGAACAGCTATCCCACTTATCTATTCTTCTTTCTGGTATACCTCAGGGTTGAGACTCCCATCCATTCCCACTGACTAACTGGGCCTCATCACTTCACTCCTGTATTATTTCCTGAGTTTCTTATTGGTTCTCCACTCTAGCCTTTCCTCTTTGATCCAATTCATATGAGGGGTAGCGTGGAATAATTGAGAGAGCTATAGAATCACACAGATCTGAGCTAAAATCTTGATATCACTTCTTACTATCTACGTGGTCTTAAAAAAGTAAGGCCGTCTCTTGAAAGCTCAGTTTTCTGAGCTATAAAGATTAGCAGTAATATCTGACACATAGTGTCTCATATTATAGCTGTTGCTATTGCTTTTATTGTTACACTATGTATCATAACCAGACTCATATTCCTTCACCTTGTCATCTCTTGGCTGAAAATTAATAGGTCATCTTATTCATTCTCAAAGACCAAGTTGCTCCTGCTTTCATCCCAGTTCTGTTATGCACCTCTTATGTGATGGTGAGCAAGTTATTTAATCTTTCTGAGCCTCTATGTTCTCATCTGTAAAATGTGGATGACTGCCTACCTCCTAGGGTTAGTGTGAGGATTAAGAGTGCATATCCAATATCTGTAAAGCATTGTCTTCTCTTCATGCCTTAGCCCGGGCCTTGCTCTGAGTTCAAAAGACTTTTTTATCCCACTCTCTTCCACTTGCCTTTCACAGGTATTTTTTTTTTTTTTTTTTTTTTTTGACAACAAAGCCAAAGTTTGAAGCCAGAAAGTGCCTTCTGCTCTCTTCCCTTCTCCCACATGGGCTGTCCAATATGAGGCACAGAGCACATGTTTTCTCCAATAGCACAGATGTTATGGAACTAGGCCAGCAGCATGTGCTTCGACCACCAGAGCACTAACTACGTGTTTGTTTGTTTGTTTCTTTTTGAGATGGAGTCTCGCTCTGTCACCCAGGCTGTAGTGCAGCAGCTGTAGTGCAGTGGCATGATCTTGGCTCACTGCAACCTCCGCCTCCTGGGCTCAAACGATTCTCCTACCTCAGCTTCCATAGTAGCTGGGACTAATGTTTTTTACATATTTTAAAATGTAAATTATGTCACAAATACAGCATCATTACAATTTTTGAAAGAGAAAACTTTTGGTCTATTTGTTACAGTCAATGACTTAGTAATAGTAATAAGAATGATATAACTTGTTTCATTGGGTTCTTGTAGAGACCTTGCACATGAGTACCATTATTTCATTATTTAATGGATAATGATACTAAGGCTCAGGTTCACCCAGCTAACAAGCAGCAGAGCCAGAATTTAAGCCCAAGTCTGTTAGACTCCCAAGACATGGTTGATCCATTACCAAGATGCCACAATTCAACCAGCAGTTTTAATACTATATGGACATAGTACTTCTATTTGAAAATTAGATCTAATCCTGGTGTAGAAAAAGCTATATGGGATAGCGAAAATTATACAGGCTTAGAATCAGAACTGGCCCATGCTGTTTCTAAGAAAAAAAAAATTGTTGATTTCATTTGGTTTAACTTCGAATAAGGAGCAATTGGATTTGTGATTATTTAATCTTTTTGGCCTCAGTTTGTTCAACTGTTAGATAATGAAGCTGGACTTTGAGCTTTTTCAGTTTTAAGAGTTCTAAAAATAAATAAATAAAAGTTACCATAGGCTAAGAATGCCAAAATTCATATAAAATTCCCCAGTCTTGCAAGGAAATGTTTTTATATTCTTGGGACTCACTTCAGTGAGAAATATACTGATCTTTACAGAATAAACATCTCTGTGAATTTCTGGGCAAGGGGCATTGCACTCAACATAGAACCCCGAAAGTAAGCCAATTGTGTCAGTGCAGGTGAAAGAGGTCACTATGCTAGTACCTTCCGGTGATTTCTGCCGGGATACCAGTAAGATGGCTGCTGCCTCTGGAATAGTTAGTAGTTGGGGATTTGGGCTTCGTCTTTCTGGAGGAACAAGAATGTATACAGATTCTGTTAGCATTTATACATTCATGTAGGTAGGTCTTATTCTAACATGCTACAACACTAGAAAAACCTCTATGAAATCGATTTTGACCTCTCAAGAAAGGGCTCCTTATGCAGAAGACTAATTTTGTATAAATGGAAACATTTCACACTCGCTTTAGAAATGACTTACAATTGGTATGTCAAGTTTACCAACAGGGTATGGAAGATAATTTTAAAATATCGAAGAGAATTTTAGATAATAATATACCTTTTCGGCCAAATATAAGGTAATTCTTTGACTGAAGGAGTATCTGCTAAGAATTCAAAGTTATTTCAAATCTAAGTTGAAAAAAGACAAATTGTTTTGATTCGATTCACCATAAAACATAATTTCTAATTTTGGGCAACTGAAGTTGAAAAACAAATCTTAAAATAAACAAGCACAATTACACAGCAGGTTTGAGGAGCCTACACAAAAATTTAAGCTCCTACTATGTGTTCAACAATGTTTGGTATTTTTCAAAGTATACTTTTTAATTTTGGCATTTCAATCTTTACAATTTTATCGAATTGTACTATTAATTTTTAATACAATACGATGGAAAGGTTTATCATGAAAGAGAACAGTCCCTGGTCCCATCCTTAACTGCCTGCATGTTACTCTTTTGATTTTGAGCCTTTGATAGTTCTTTCTAGAAAAACAGAAGCATACATTCGAAGTTCCTAGGTAAGTTCCCATTTTGTTAATAAGAGTTTAAGAGGAGGCTGAGTATAAAGTTCCTGCATAAACGCGCCGATACATTTCTAGCAGCATTTGCATAGTTCTTCCTCTCTCTCCTTACCCCGCTGAGCTGAACCTCAGGCCCTAACTCCCTGGGGACCTTTGCACACCCTGGCGGCCAGAGTGCTGGCTCAGCAGCCTCAAGCGGGTAAAGCAAGCGGAGCCGCAGCGCCAGCCTGAGCCGCCCTTGCCACTGTTGGCGCGGGGCTGGATGCGCGAGCTCCGGGCTCCCGCGCTCGGGGTCTCGCTGCTGCCGCCCACGTGGGCTGCGCTCGGGCCGACTGCAGTTCAGGGAGACTCAGAGCCGCGTCTTTCAGGTGGGGAGATACTTTCTTTTGGCGCCAGCGCAGAGCAAGCCCTTCCCGCCCCATCCTGTTCCCAAAGCGCAGGACTAGCGAACTTGCACCCCTGGTCACTCACCCGGCAGTGGTCGGTCGGAGAGGTCCTTCCTCCGGCTCTGGTCGGAGATGAAGCGCCGACCCTCTGCAAAGGCGAGACCCAGGGTTCAACGACTGCCCTGCCCGGGACAACCCGGGCTTACACCACAGCTCCTCCCCGCACCGTGCAGTCCCCGGGCGTGGGGAGGGGGCAGGTTGCTCCAGGTTAGGGTGGCACGGGCTGTCGAGTTTCCAGCGCTCCCAGCGCAACCTCCGGCGGAGCCAGGCGCCCTGGAGACCAGGAGAAAGCCCCGCGCCTGGCCAGACGCCGCAAGGGCGCTTTGGAGCCGAGGTCGGGTTCACCGCCGGTGCGGTTGTTTCCCAGGCAACCCGAGTCCCCATTTGGACCAAGACAAGCAACCCTCCATTTAAGGATGGAGGATTTCTAATAAGCATGGAGGATATCTAATAAGAATGGAGGATTTCTAATAAGGATAGAGGATTTCTAATATTCAGGGACTCTTCCCTTCTCCCACCCCTCCTTCACCTACTGGTCTCTTTAATGGCCTCTATGATTTAAGGGAATAAACTCAGTATTTTTCTCTCTTCATAACTCTCCATCTATCTGTTCGTGGATTCATGCACTTCTAAGGGTATTCCGTTGTTATAGGGAAAGCAAAATATTTGGAACTTACGTGCCCCTTTCAGATACAGCATAGCTTGAGGAGTCCAGTTCCTTCTCTCCAGCTGTCTCTGTAACCCGGGAGAAGGGAAGAGCAGTTAATTAAACGTTGCAGCTCAGTCCTCTACTACAGCAAAATAAAGACAAAACAGGAGACAATAAAATAAGAAGGAAGAAAGAGCAGAGTGGACACACAGTGCGCATTTTTAATTAATTAATTAATTCTATCTGATTACCTGCGGAGTGCCACTGGAGTTTCCCAGGAAAAAAACCACCAGGAAAAGAGCCAAGGTTGTTGCTGCTAGACTGGTGAGTCCCTGTATAAAGTGATCAACCAGAAAGGGTCATTTCTGTGCCAGTAGGATCTTCTGCTCCCTTCCTGGACCTCCTGGACAATTACGAACTCTTTACTTCTCGAAATATTGTTTTAGTACTCAGTTTCTGGAGGTGTTTCCCTTCTATCTTCTAGTTAATTGGAAAAAAAATCTAGAAATATGTTATTTTTACTACTTCACCCAAATGAAGAAGTAAATACCTGCATTTTTTTCTTAGTAAAATAAATGATTCTGTTATTCTAAAGGCATATCATTCAGATATCCTTAACATGTTTATTAAACATGAAATAGAAAAAATGCTATAAAGTGTTTCAAAAAATAGCTAAGAAGTCTCAAGTTAATAAAGCCTTTACTTACCTTCATGTTCTGCTTCTTTTCAGAATCTTGAAACAACTGTGACTTTCCCTGTGAGTTTTCTACTCTTGCCCTGAAATTGGAGCTTTTAAAATCTTGGTGTTAAGGACCTCTCTCCATCTGGAATAGAGTTTGGGAGTACACAGGGACATCTTGTCAGTCTTCAAGCAAGATCGAGAATCTGATGACTCCTCCAGGGAGTTTCATTGCAGGAAGTTGAGGGATGATTGATGGGCGGAAATTATTTGTTTGGATATGGATTGCATCATCCAGAAGACATTCAGAATGTGTCAGCATCACTGCTCTTGCTTTTCCTACTAGCTACACAAAGCACTGTTATTATTATTATTATTAATGAAAACAATCAATAGTCCAAGGCAGAATCAAAAGTAAATGAATAAGTAAGAAAACTTGTCTTGGGTAAGTAGCTATCAGTCTATCACTGATGTCTAAAGATGTATGAAAAGGTTTGGGAATCTCAATGGAATTTGATGTCAGTCATTCATTTAATTATTCATTCATTCCGTTGTTTAGCAAACATTTATTGAGTGCCTACTGTGAGACACACAATCCTTTTATTTCAAGGGACACAGCCATGCACTGAAAAGACATGGTCTTTGCATTGATCAAAGTTATCTACTAGTCAAGGTACACACTAAATTGAAGAATAGATAAAATAAGACACAGTAGTTACCCCTTAATCATAGGTGTGTGTGGGGGGGACATGTTTCAAGACCCACAGTCGATGCCTGAAGCCATTGGTATGTATATGCCTTATATACACTGTATTTATTCCATCCATTCACCAAGACGGTTACTAGTGGATTAATGGGAGAGTGGTCTTTACATATGAACATGCTAGACAAAAAGATGTTTCATGTTTTGGTTAGGCTGGAGCCAAACAGTGAGAGATTTCAACACCCTACTCAGATTTAACACTCACAATTTAAAACTTATGAATTCTGAAATTTCCCGTTTAATATTTTCAGACTGTAGTTGAGCATGGGTAACTGAAACCATGGAAAGTGAAACTGCAGATAACCAGTCTGCTGTAACTGCAGAATGTTTTAATTTTTTTTTTTTTTTTTGAGAGGGAGTCTCACTCTGTCACCCAAGCTGGACTGCAGTAGTGCCGTCTCGGCTCACTACAACCTCCACCTCCCGGGTTCAAGCAATTCTCCTGCCTCAGCCTCCCAAGTAGCTGGGATTACAGGCATGCACCACCATGCCCGGCTAATGTTTGTATATTTAGTAGAGATGGGATTTCTCCATATTGGTCAGGATGGTCTCAAACTCCTGACCTCATGATCCGTCTGTCTCTGCCTCCCAAAGTGCTGGGATTACAGTCGTGAGACACCGAGCCCTGCCTTTAAATTGTTAAGTAAAAGTAAGCAAGGTGATGGGATAGGATAAGCAGTGGGCTACTTCAGGGAAGGTTAAAAACAGAGGGTAGTCTTGAAGGATAAGGTGAAGTAATGGGAAAAACTGGGGCAGTAATTAGTATTCCAGGCATTCTCAATAAAAGAAAGAAAAGCAAAATTTATGGACAGCAAAGAGCATGGCTTGTTTGGGGAACAGGAAAGAGGCCAATGGAGAAAGAGTTGTGTGGGTGACAGGGGAGAGGCTTTGAAATGAGATTGGAGAGAGAAACGGGCCAGTTGATATGGGAATATGATTATAGAAAAGATGATGATGGTTTATACTGGGATGGTACACACAGGGAAAGAAGAGCTGTAAATGAGTTGGATACATGTTGTGGAGGTAGAAGATATAGAACTTGTATATAAAAGGGATATGAGATAATGAGAAAAATATATCAAGGATGATTCTTAGGTTTATGGATAAAATTATGGGTAAATTATGAAGTAATTTATTGAAATTGGAGAAACTTCTTAACTTCCTTTTGGTTAGTAAAAGAGAATGGAATATAGAATGTAGTATGTGAGCAGAAACTTCAGAACTATTTACTGTCTTCAAGGAAAAAAGCAAAGCAGGAAAAAGCTAGAGGCATTAGTGTAATGCTCTATTTCCACGTCATAGGAAAGGAGAAAGATAAAAACTGACCAAAAGGTTATCTGGTTGCTGTTTTAATAATGCTTTAAATGTTAGATTTTAAGATTTTCATTTCAAAAGATTGTAGCAATTTCCTTCAAAAAAAGAGCAATAAAAGAAGTGAAATATGCTGTGTTTATGTTTTAAATAGTCACACATGAAACCTAATTACCAAATTACCTGAAAAATAAATAAAATGCCTTTCCGTACCCAAAACACAAATGTTTTGGGAAGAGGAGCAGGAAAATGAATCACTAATAAAACTGACAGTTTTAACAAGAGACACATAAATGCGCTTTGCTGATAATAGTTTAGCTAATGAATTCACAAGCAGATGTCTTACGTCAAAGCTGCCATTTTCAGTTTAATGTGCGCAAAAGAAGGGAATGGTTTTGACATGTTATCAATATTGCAGTCTTATCAAGAGTAACATGCTAGAATGTGTTACTTCTAAAAGGATTTCCAAAGGGCATTGGCCCCCAATAGAATGTTTTTGTTCAATCACAAAGCTTTTAAGGTTTTTACAGTTTCAAACCAAGACATGGATTGTTATAATATTTGGTATAAAATAAAACAAACAAACAATAACAAAAACTCACATAGGTAAAGCCCTTGAATTTTATTCTGCTGACAGTATGACCAGACAGTAGATGTTGAATGAATGGTCTTTTAAGCCTTTTTTGAAGGCACATTCAATGAACACTGTTTTGAATTCATCACTGTTACCTGCCTTCTTGTAGTTGACTAAAGAGTGCCCAGACCCTGTTTAACCAATGATCACCTGTCACTGTTTAAATGGCGTTCTTTCAAGGTCAGAGATTATTGTGTTCACAAGGAAAACAGCTGCTATATTGGATAGGATTGTCTGGACAATATAGCTATTATAGTACAAAACGCCTAAATGACTTTTTTGATGACAGAATAGAGAGAATTTGGTTTGGATAGAATGAAGATATGAGTTCCATCTTCTATGTTGGCTTCATTTTCTGTTAGGACATCAGCCCCTTAGGCCAGTTGTCTCATAATCAGATGAAAGAAGTCATTTCCCCAAAGGGTTACCAGTTTTAGGAGGGACTTTGGCAGCATTAAGAAAGCCTGCTATCCAAAATGAAACTTCTCATTAATTGGCCACTGTCTTTAGTCAGGCTTCTTTTTACTTAATGCTTTGATTCACAATGAGCTCACACCCTGAGATAGATAATATTGCAATTCTTTGTTTACAAACTATTTCGGATCCTTTTTCCAGAATTACAGATAGGGAGAGGAAGGAGAAAAGATGAAGATACTGGTTTTCTGAGGAGAGTTAAGACAAGTTATGTTTTGTGCGTTGGGGGTAGATAAAAGTGAAGCAGGGAGACTCAAGTTCACCAATTTCATACTATCTTCTGGATTAAAATATTTTACCACTCATTTCCAAAATGATGTAATAGTGCACATAAAGTAATGTACAGCCAACCAACTACTGGATAATTCATAAGACATGGCTGCTAATGTTGTATGTTATGCAAAAGCAGCACAAAGAGGACAAATACAGCAAAAAGGTCTTGGCTCAAGATACAAACAATGAAACACTAATACTGATAGCCCTTTTGGAATTGTTGAGCCATATAAACCTTGGTAGCTCAGAAATGTGAAGAATAATTCCATAATTCTGTGATGTGAATTAGGTTTAACACCAGCTGTTGCCAGGTGTGATCATCAAATAGGAAGGTGGGAGAGACAGTTGTCCTACTTCTAATCTATGTCACTGGGCCAGAAATACTCTCAGGACAATAATACATGTTATTTTTCATAACACTTTAAATTTGAGAGAGACCTTTCAAATCCATTATTAAATTCAGTTTTCATATCAAGTTCATGCATTAGATCCCGTATTTCACTTAGAAGCATACTCAGAGAGTTTGACTTGATATGACACTAAATAGTACAGTTAGTGTCTTAGCACCAAGACTGTCCTTATACCGTCATTGAACTCATAGTCACCTCACAAGGTCTTATCACAACAGAAGTCTTCTTCAGGGATTCAATTACCCATGATTACCAGTATTATTTCATATGCATAAAAGACTATTGTGCAAGTGATCCCTCTTGTCATAGGGTATTACTTCTGGCTTTCATCACTTAAGAAATAAATTTTATTTTCTCCTTGGGATAATTCTACTTCATAATAGCAGCTGCAATGACAAAACCCAAGAAACTCTTCATTTCATATTGGAAAGAAAGA